GAAGCCGGAGGGCTGACCGCGGTCCCAGCAGGAGTGGCCGGCTCATTGTTGCGCCGTGCTTCCTCCTCTTCCTCCACTCCCCCCCCCACCAGACCCCGTCGAGTCCTGAGCAAAACCACGACGGAAGGTTTTTCGTTTTTTTCTGGTCTTTGAGGGCCTTCGCCGGGTCTCGGAGGCATCACACATCCACTCGGGATGAAAAGCCGGTCCAGGAGGGTGGGTCGAGACCTCTGGGGGGGACGTTAGGAAACCATGATGACGTCGGGGGTTTAGGTACCCTCGCATCAGCGCCATCAGCATCATCATCATCATCATCATCATCATCATCATCATCATCATCATCATCATCATCATCAGCATCAGCATCAGCATCAGCATTAGCATTAGCATCAGCATCAGCATCAGCATCAGCATCAGCATCAGCATCAGCATCATCATTACCATCATCATCATCATCATCATCATCATCGTCATCATTATCATCATCATCATCGTCATCGTTATCGTCATCGTCATCGTTATCGTCATCGTCATCGTCATCATATCATCATCATATCATCATCATGATCATGATGATGATCATCATCATCATCTTCATCGTCGTCATCAGCATCAACATCATCATCACCATTGCCGTCGTCGTCATCATCATAAGCATCATCTTCATCCTCATCCGGGGTGCAGGTACATCCGGAGGTTGACAGACCTCCTACCCTGACACGTCGATTACTAAAGGGAGGTCCACCGCGAGTAAATGGAGTCAGCGAATCCCTCCGTCGTTTCTGGCTGGCACAGGGTCTGCAGCAGCGTGGTGCCGACCCCGTTCCCTTCGCTGACCGGGCTCGGGAGCTGCTTCGTGGCGGGCCGGGACTTGCGACATGGTGGTCAGCTCAGCCCCTGGTGATCATCATCATTATCATCATCATGATGATCATCATCCTCATCATCATCTTCATCTTCATCGGTATCACCATTCTCATCATCATAACCATCATTATCATGATCATCATCATCATCGGCAGCAGCATCAGCATCAGCGTCAGCAACAGCAGCGTCATCATCACCATCACCATCACCATCACCGTCACCACCATCATCATGACCATCATCATCATCATCATCATCAGCATCACCATCATCACCCTCACCGATACCACTACCATCATCAGCACCATCACCATCACCGTAATCATCATCAACATCACCATCAGCACCATCGTTATCATGATCAACATGATCACTACTATCACCATTACCGTCACCATCATCATTCCCATCATCATCACCATTATCATCATAAATTATCATCATCAGCGTGACCATTACCATCATCACTGTGATTTCTGTGCTCTTTAGGCCTCCTGATTGTATGCAGGCCTATGTTGGCCACAGTTTTTTCGACCCGCTTTGGCATTTCGTTCCGTAGCCGGCTTGGGTCAGATTTTTGCGCAGTGGAGCAGAGTCGGCGATTCGGTTTTCGATATAGATTTCTCAGTTGGCAGCGGAGCCGTGGTTCTCCCACGGTAGCTGCTGCGCACCCGCTGCAGGTTCGATTCAGAAGACGGCTTAGCACAGCCACGGTTTCAGATTTCATATTGCTGCCGCCATGCCGCATGGGGCTCAAGGAGAACCTGGGGATGAAGAAAATGGAGAGCCGACGAGAGTTTCGACACGAGTGGATCGGGACCCACCGCCACCATCCACGGAGCCGACGGACGAATATTTGTATCGACGCTGCAGACGAGACCTGCTGATCTGGCAGGCCAGCACCACATTAGAGGAGAAGAAGATTGGCGTTGTGGTTCCCAGGAATCTGCGAGGTCAGGCCTGACTTTCGTGCGAGGAGATCGTTGACGAAGCCTTGACGGGCGAGAACGCAGTCGAGCTGATCCTGCAGGCCCTGGACAATGCATTCCAGTATCTGAAGGAAGAAGAGTTCCCCGAGGCCCTTGACAAAGCTCTCGACACGCGTGTTCGCGACCCTAAGCAGGACAGGTATACGACGTTTGTGAATAGACGCAGGCTCGAGTTCATCGCGCTCGAGAGGTTGAAGGTTCTGCTGCCGGACACGCTCAAAGGATACAGTACAGTACGGTTCGCGCGGCTTGATGAGAGGTCCTATGATAGAGTGATTGGCTGGACTGATGGTGGCTAGAATTTCGAGCAGATCGCGAAGGCGCTCGTCAGGCTAGACCGCCCTGACAGACGAGCTGGACTACCGAGACCAACGACAGGATTGGCTTCGCGTTCGTTGCCCCCGCCGCCGCCGATCGACATGGCCACGACGGATAAGTCAGACGAGCTAGGCGCGTTCGCCATGGAGGTGATCGGACACGATGGTGGCGGTTGCGACGACGGCGAAGGCACGCTACAGATCCCAGGGTCGGAGGCCATCGAAATAGTTTGCTACGTTGATGCTGAATGGCTCGACGGCGTGATTGAAGAGGAGGACCTGCCATGGGTGTTTTTGGACATGCGGCCGGCGATGGGTTGCCCGGTCGAGCGCAAGCAGGTCCAGAACCAGTTGAATTTGGAGGGCGAAAGAGGGGGTCTGCAACAGGGGGTCTCCAATGGGGGCTGAATGGCCCATGTATGCTCAATGTATCGCTCATGTATGTGATCGGGAACTATTGGCATCCAATGTTGGCTGTCATGGAGGGCCAGTCGTTCGTGCCCGCGCGTTGCCCGCGCGGGGGCACGCGCCGTCCATCCATTATCGTGCATGCGTGCGGGCGTTCTTGCATTCTGCGCGTGGGGCCGCGAAGTGGAGTGCAAGTGTGTCTTGATTGTGCGATTGATGATCGCGCATGTTCCCAAGCGACGAACTATCGACCCCCAAGACAGATTTGGAATGAGTCCCGCGACTTTCCCAACATGTGATTTCCCATTTTCCTTGTTCTCAACATGTGAATTCACATTTTCCTTGTTTCCCTAACTGCGAATTCACATTCTGGCCCCTTCATACAGATTCCTACACCAAGTTTCAAGTTGTGAATTTACAGTTTCCTCTTCCCAACATGTGAGTTCACAGTTTCCTTTTCCCAACGCGTGAATTCACGTTTTGCCTTTCCCCACAATGTGAATTCACATTTTGCCCTGGCTTTCAAGATCCCCTAAACTGAGTCGCAGCGTTCCGCGTGTCTGATTGGCTGGGCAGATGTTGACCCTCACCTCGCCGCTTCCGTTTATTTCGACCTTGTCTTTTACGCCTCAGCGCACGTTGTCCTCGCCGCCTTTCCCGAGCCCCCCGCCCCCTTGCATCGCCCCCCCTCGAGTCTCGCGCGCGGGCGCAGGCGGGGAACTTCAATTGGCACCCCCGCCGAACGCGTCAATCGAGGACGCATCGCCCATTCATGGCCCATAGAGACACCATTGCTGGGGCCCTGCGCCCGACCCCCACTTTCGCCTTCCAATGAATGAGGCGCGCAAGGCCAGAGGTTTCTTTAAGCCAAAGGGCAAAGGCCAAGACAAGCATGGTCATGGACGAGACAAAGGCAAGGGCGACGGCAAGCATAATCAGCGCAGGCGCATCTCGATCGACCAGTTCAGGCTGAGGACGAAGTGCGCCAGGTGCAAGCAGGTTGGCCATTGGGCGCGCGAGTGCCCACAGAAACGACATCGACAGCGCCCAGCCCTTGGAGCTTTCACTACGCATACGGCGGGCGGTAGCAACCAGACGTTCGAGGCCAGCTGCATCTGCGACCGGAGGTGCCGTGAAGTTCTTCGTCGGAGCGATCGCCATATTCATCGTGGACGCAGGTGCTCAGGAGGACATCATCGGCGCTGAGCAGCTGAAGGGTCTCGTTAACAAGCTGAAGGAGTCCAAGTCGCAGCCGCGGTGGGTGCCGGGCGACGGACCCCCCCCCCCCCCCCTTCGCGGCATCGGAGGCAACGCGAAGGTCATCGGCCGCGCGGAGGTTGCCGTGGGCATCGCAGGCGCGAACGGGTTTGTATCATTCCGTGTTCTTGATGAGGAGGTGCCTGCGCTGCTTCCAGTCGGTCTCACCAGAGCGCTGGAGATGGGCCTCAAGCTGCCAGGATCTGGCGACGAGGTTGTTTTCCACATGTTCGGTGCTGGCGCAAAGCTGCGGACCATCGGGCAGAATGGTCACGCGGCCGTCAGCGTCATCGAGTTTGCGCCCTGTGGATGGCGTGAACCAGAGACTGTCAAACAAACGAAGGAACGTCATTGGCTGTTGTGGACGCGTCGCCATCGCATTCGCCATCGCCGACATTGCTGCCATCGCCGGCTTCAGAACGTCAGCGTCACCAGCCACCGCGTCGCAGACAGCGCCTACAGCATCGCAGAGCGAGACGGCAGTCCCAATCGCATCAACAGCATGTAAGACAGCATCTACAGCATCACATAGCCCAACGTTGGCTTCAGAGGAGCAGGCAACCGCAGCGATGGCAAGCAGGGGCAAGGGGAGCCACAACAAGCTCACAGAGAACAAGCTCACAAGCATCCCAGAAGAATGCGCCCACGAAGACTCCAAAGAAGGCCCCCTGGAGTCCAAGGTTGCGAACTCTCAGAGCCATTTGCGTTCAGCTCCGAGTTTCTCTGCAGAGGCCGACAGCGATTCTACGCTTGCGCAGCCCAGTCCTCCGATTTTGGCGGAGGCATTCATTTTCACGACGGCGCCGGATGACGAGTCTCGTGGACCAGGCTCTCGGCGAGCGCGAGGATCCAGCGTTAGATCGCGGGGGGGGGGGGGGGGCGGGGCCGAAAGAAGCGGCCTATGGCAGCATGGCATCGGATTCTGCGAAGCTCCATTTTATGGTCTTCGAAGCTGATGTCTCCCAGTCCTTGTGCTCGGCTCTCCTGTGCATCGCTGGCGCCCAGGAGCAGGTCAAACCTTTCGCTGTGCATCGGAAGAGAGCTGGGTCGCCCACCGACGCGGGATCTTCCCGCGTCTTTCACGAAGGGCAAGCGTCTTCCCGACACCAAGCGCAAGGGTACCAAACCGAACTGCACGCCGGAGTAGTGCGACCCCCCAGAGGAGTTCTCGCTCCCGGAGGGCAACCACAAGGGCGATTACGACGCCTGCATGAAGTGCGGGGCCCGATGGGAACGAGCCCCTCATTTCGGCAACGCGGTCAAGGTCGAGCCCGGTTCGACAGCGGTGAAGATGGAGTTTCCTGTGGAGGTGGAGGTTCCAGCGTGCCCAGTCCACGGGGCACCCATGGAGAGGGCGCACGACCGCTACGAGAAGAAGCACGTGCACTTGTGCACGGTACAGGCTTGCGAGGAGACAAAGGAGATTACGCTGGAGGGATTCGATAAGATGAACGTGACCGCCATATCGTCGAGCGACGAGGACACGTGACTGGAGGTCACTCTACTTCGGACGCCTAGACGATAACGACGAGACGGATGTCGTGATCATCGTGGCGCCAGTCAATGTGAACAGCTTCGCGAATGGCGACCTCTTCGGCGACCAGATCGGCAGTGGGTACATGGGCAGGTTCGCGGATCGGGTCGACTACATCACAGAGGACCGCGAGGACGACGCGAGTGACAGCGTCGATATCTTCAGGGTGCGGAGCGGGGCTATCACGAGCGTCTTGTCTGACGACGACGGGCATGCAGTCATTCCCAAAGGACTTTTGCCGCGGGGCCTGGAGAGCTACCCAGGAATGGCGCTGACGTCACGGAGATCGACAGCCGACCTCGTGCCGCGCAACACTGTATCCGACATGGGCTCCAACCTGGAAGCGCTATAGACCTGACTACCGGATTGGATTTCACGCTGGGCGCAGATCGCCGGAGGGCGCGAGAGGTCATCGATCAGGAGCAGCCGCTGATCATTATCCACAGCCCGCCGTGCAAGGTGCGGAGCCGCATCAGGGATCTGTCAAACTACAAGCGCGACCAGGACATCGTTAGCAGTGAAGAACGTGACGGTTTTCAACGCCGAGATTTCTGCGTGGCGCTCGCTCGAGAACAACGCGAACGAGGAGGACTACTTCTATTCGAGCGACCAGCCTGCGCACGATCGCGGGACGCGCCGTGTATTCAGGGCCTGGCCGATGCCGACGGGATCGGCTGGATCAACGCCGACATGCGCGAGTTCAACCTACGCGTCGACGGGGGCAAGCTCAACCGCAAGCCTACCAGCATCCTCAGTAACAGCATTGAGGTTCCCAAGGCCGTTTGCAGGAGGTCTGCCGGCTCGCCCGCTCGGCCGTGGGCTTACCGTCGGAAACGGGGCCCTCCTCGACGAGCGAGGGACTGGGCGGGGCTTCGCCTGGAGACGCCGCCGCGGCGGCCCCGCGCGGCGGCCGGAAGGTCAAATTGCCGGCGTACATCGACCAGGCCGACGACACCGAGATCGAGCCGATGGACACAAACCGTCTCCGGGGCCTCATCCAGGCGCGGAAGACGAACCACAACGATGGGGGGGACCCAGCAGAGGAGGAGGAGGCCACGGGCGAGCAGCTTGCGGCCCTCGCCTTCCGGGTGCAGTCCGGGGCGACCCCGTGCGTCGACATGGGGATCTGGCGCCCGAGAGGGGCCCGGGTCGCCCGCGCGTTCAAGTTCAATGCGCACGCCCCCCAGCCGGGCGGGGGGTTCCAGCAGCGCGAGTGCAGCGGGCCGGCCTCGCTCCAGGAGTTGGCTGCGTTCCTGGCGGGTCTTCTCCTGGGAGAGGCCAGCGGGGCGCGCCTCGACCGGCACAAGGAGAAAGTCTCCCCGCGGTGCTGGTTCATCGCGGCGCTGGCAGACATGCACATGCGCAGCGAGCACCTCGAGCGCATCCCGAGGGGGCCTGGTCACGGCGAAGCAACCCTCGTCGTTCGACCCAGAACTATACGTCCTCAGGGAGGCCGCGCAGGACGAAAATTTCCGGGGCAAGGAGTTCGACGAGGAGGCGCTCTGGCACGCGACGCACGCGCAGTCCCTGGCCTCGGCCACCGACGACGGCACCGGGCCCCTGCGGGAGGTTGCCCGGGGCAGCAAGCGGGCGGCGCAGCGCGAGGAGGCCGCGGGCGGTCCGACCCAAGGGCGCTCCAAGCGCGGCGGGGGGGCCGAGCTCACCCCCCGCGCGGTCGGCCCGGCGGCAGGCGCCGGCGGCGGCGGGAGGCCGCCGTGGCAGAACTGGGGTGGCGGGCGCGGCGGCGGCGGCAAGGGCGGCGGCGAGGGCGCCGGCGGAGGCGTCACAGGGGCCGGCAAGGGCGCGGAGGCCCGCGCGTCGAACGGCCAGTACTTCTGGACAACAGAGGGCGCGCAGATCTGCTGGGACTGGAACTGGGCCCCGAGCGGGCGCAGCGAGCCGTGCCCGATGCGGCGCGCGCACGTCTGTGAGCGGTGCCGCCAGCCGCGCCGCGCGATCGGGTGCCGCGCCATCGGTTGACTAGGGCCCGAGACCGGCCTCGCCCCACCTGCCGAGAGCGCATGGTGGCCCGTGGGGGAGTGCCCAGAGGGGGCGGGCAGGGGGCTGGGGGAGTCGGCCGCAGGTGGGCCGCCTGGAGGCGGTCGTGGCCACGGCGGCCCGCGGGCGGCGCTTGCCGAGGGCGCAGGCATTGGCGCTGGGGAGTGCCCGCGTGGGGCGGGCGAAGCGCCCGGGGAGGCGGCCGTTGGCGGCCCACCTGGGGGCGGCCGTGGCCGCAGCGGCCCGCGCGTCAAGCTTGCCGAAAGCGCGGGCGGAGATGCGGGGGAGCGCCCGGGAGACGCGGGCGGGGAGCTGGGGGAGGCGGCCGCCGGCGGTTCGCCTGGAGGTGGCCGCGGCGGCCCGCACCTAGCGGAGGCGGTGCGCGCGCAGCCCGCGCTGGGCACCGCGCGCGACAGCGACGTCGCCGCGCCGGCTCAGGCGCGCGGCTCGGGGAGACCCCGGGGGAGGTGCGAGCCCGCTTGAGGTAGCGAGGCTGTGGGGGGGGGGGTGCGGCAGCGCAGAGGGAGGGGGGGAAAGAACCTAAGCGCGTGCGAATCGTGTTCGGTCCTCGTTTCCCGTGTCTGTGTGTGCGTGGTGTTCCCCCCCCCTCGTTCTTCCTCTCCCTCTTCTCTCGCCTCTCCTCCTCGCCCGTTCCCGGCGCGTCTGGTGGTTGACTTCGGGGGAGTTCGCCGCGGCCTGAGAGTGGTCGTGCCTGCCGGCGCTTGGGGGAGTGCGCCGGCGCGACGCGTTGCGGTGCTCGGTCTGGGGCTGCCGCGTGCTCGCCGAGAGCTTCCCTGGGTGTCCGTCTGTGTGTGCGTGTGTGTGTGTGTGTGTGTATGTGTGTGTGTGGTGTGGTGTGGTGTGGTGTGGTGTGGTGTGGTGTGGTGTGTGTGTGCGTGTGTGTGTGTGTGTGTGTGTGTGCGTGCGTGCGTGCGTGCGTGCGTGCGTGCGTGCGTGCGTGCGTGCGTGCGTGCGTGCGTGCGTGCGTGCGTGCGTGCGTGCGTGCGTGCGTGCGTGCGTGCGTGCGTGCGTGCGTGCGTGCGCGTGCGTGCGTGTGTGTGTGTGTGTGTGTGTGTGTGTGTGTGTGTGTGTGTGTGTGTGTGTGTGTGTGTGTGTGTGTGTGTGTGTGTGTGTGTGTGTGTGTGTGTGTGTGTGTGTGTGTGTGTGTGTGTGTGTGTGTGTGTGTGTGTGTGTGTGTGTGTGTGTGTGTGTGTGTGTGTGTGTGTGTGTGTGTGTGTGTGTGTGTGTGTGTGTGTGTGTGTGTGTGTGTGTGTGTGTGTGTGTGTGTGTGTGTGTGTGTGTGTGTGTGTGTGTGTGTGTGCGTGCGTGCGTGCGTGTGTGTGTGTGTGTGTGCGTGTGTCTCCTCTGCCTCGCGCCCTCCCCCTCCTCGCTGCCTCCTTCCCTCCCCCCTCGCTCCCCTTTCTTTTTTTCCGCGCTCCGCCCCCTGCCTCGCCCGCTGCCCCGACAGTCGAGCGCCTCCAGCGAACGGCTGGCGAGGGCCGGGAAGCGGGGCAGAGCCGTGGAGCGCGCCCGGGCAAGCCCGAGAGTGGCCGGCCCGGCGCCCGACGGCACGGCAAACGACCGGCAAGCAGAGCCGGCCAAGCAGGCGAGGGAAAGGGAGAACCGAGAGTGCATTGGGGGCATGCGCGACCCCGCGAGAGCCGTGGCGCGCATGCCCGAGGCTGCAAGAAGCGGGGAGGTTGGCCCGTGGCGCCCTCGAGTGCTTCGCGGAGAAGCATTGCTGGGTCGCCCGTGCCCTGCTGAGGACGGGGTCGACGGCTGGCGCCAAGTGGAAGCCCGAGTAGGGCAGGAGCTGGCGACTGCCCTCGGGGAGGCGTTGGGGGCGGACTCCACGGGCCGAAGCCAGCGTTCCGCATGGCGGCCCGGCCTCATGCGGGCATTCGTCCGGACGGCCAGGGATCCCGAGGCCCACCTGGCCGACTGGTTCGAGCGCGGGGCGCCGACGGGAGTGCCTCAAGAGATGCCGTCCGCCGGGATGTTCCCGAGAGCGGGCGCAACCGGCGCGGCCCACCACGAGTTACGAGACCATTGTGCATTGGTGGAGCCCGGGGGGAATTGCGCCAGCGCGGTGGAGAACGAGGGCGCAGTCGGGGAAGAGATCCAGCGCCTCGCGGGACAGGGCTTCGTCGCGAGGCATCCTGCGTGGGAGGCGTTCTTGGCGCAGTTCGGGGACGTCGTCGCGTCGAAGATGGCGGCCGTGGTCAAGGCCCGCCCAGACGGGTCGCGGAAACTGCGGCTAATAATCGACATGCTCGGCAGCAGGGCGAACGAGCGCGTAAAAATGTCGGAGCGCATTTTGCCGCCACGCCTGCTGGACGTGCTCCAGGACCTCACGTCCCTCATGGAGGCGCCCGGCGCGCGGGGCGCAGGCGTCGACATGATGGTGCTGGACTGGGGGGGGCGCGTTCCATTCTGCGGGCGCGCGCTCGGAGGAGCTTCCGCACCAGGTCGCGCGCGGCTTCGAGGGGGAGTACATCGGGTGCGAGACAGTCCTCTTCGGCGGCGGCGGCTCGCCGCTCGTCTGGGGGAGGGCCGCGGCGTTCCTCGGCCGTTCGGGGCAGGCGTTGTTCTCGCGACAGGAGGCGCGTATCCAGGTGAACGCGGGCGACCCTTGGACGGCGTGGCTGGGCAACCCAACCCAGAGGGCCCGCAACAAAGTGATCCTCCTCCTGCGGTGGCCCACGGCGGGCCCGCTAGTGTCCTGGCGCAAGGTCTAGCTCGGCGCCGCTGTGGCATGGATCGGGGCCGAGGTGCGAATCCTCGGCCCGGGCGAGGTGACGCTTGCGTTGCCTGGCGCGCGCGTGGCCGAGCTGCTCCCCGAGGCGGAGCAGCTTCTCGCGGTCACGGTGGCCCCCGTCGCCCGCTCGAGGGCGCTGGCGGGGCGGCCGGCCTGGGCGGGCGGAGAAGCCCCGTACCTCAAGAGCATGGTCGCGCCGCTGTGGGCGGCCATCACGGAGCCGTCGTCGGCTGCGCGCCCTGGGGCGGCCTCGGCGGGGGCGCCGCGCCCGCGGGCGGCGCGCGCACTCCGCTGGCTGGCGGCGTTTGCCAGGCGCCAGAGAGGGGCCCTGTCGCGCGCGTGCAGCGCGGGCCAGTGCCGCCAGAGGGTGGCGGTCAACTTGGTCTTCGACGCCTCGCCCTGCATGGGGTCATGGCAGGCGTGTCGTTGCGCGCGGGCGGGTCTTGGCGTGGTTCGCGGAGCCGATGATGCGCGTGGGGGGCTCGCGCTTCCAGGCGCTCTTCGAGGCGCTGGCCATCCTCATCGGGGTCCGCGAGTGGCACCCTGCGTGGAAGGACGAGAGGGCCGCCGTGGTGTTGAGGAGCGACCCACAGGCCGCCCTGGGGGCGGCCGCGAATCTGAAGTCCACGAGCCCCGCCCTGAACGCGGTGGTCAGGGAGCTCTCGTTGGACCTGGCCGAGGGCCGGTACCAGGCTGACGCGGTTGCGCACGTGGCGGGCAAGGACAATGCCTGGGCCGACGCGCTATCGAGGCTGTGCGAGCCGGGCGGAGCCGCCGAGGTGCCGAGCGCGCTCTTGGGGCGGCCTCGCACGCGCCCGGCAAAACGGGGCGGCACGTGGTGGGGGGCCATGTGCGATCCCGATCCGGCGCAGCTGGGTGGGCATTGATGCTCGTGTCTTTCTTGTGTTGCCCAGCCCCCGCGAGCGCAGGCCGTCTCGCGGGAACTGGCGCGCCGTTGCGCGTCGACGCGCTCGGCATGCCGGGGCCCGGCGCGCGCAACGTGCCCGGCGGCTCGTCGTTGTGGCAGGCCCCCCAGAGAGCGGGGGGCGCGGCGGCGGCGGCGGCCGCCGCAGCAGCGGCTAGCGGAGCGCAGGGTCTGAGCGCGGCCGCGCCTGGGGGGCCCGGACAGGCCGCCGCTCGCGGAGGCGAGGCGCCCGCGCCACTGGCGGCCGCGCGCGGCGGCACCGGGCCTGGAGACCACGGCCCGGCACCGCCCCGGGATGCGCCTGGCGTTGGCGTGGACGCGAGAGGTGTCCGGCGACCGCTTGCCGCGGTGCGCCGCGCGCGCGCGCGCGGCTCGGGGGCGGGCGCCCGGGCGGCGTTGCGTTGACTTTAGGCTCGGGGAGGCTCGGGTCAGGGAACCATAATCATGACAGAAGGGGGCGCCCGCGCGCGCTCGCAGGGACTGCGCGCATCAGAGCGCGCAATTGGATCGTGCGAGCTAAGCGCGTTGGCGACAGCGGTTGCTGTTGGTTTGTTTCTTGCTTGTGTGCTGCTTGATGGCCGGGCAGCGCGGAGAGCTCTTCATCGAAGAGTTCTTAGATTGGAGGGTCGATTCCTCCGAGCGCGAGTCCCTTTCTGCGCTCGTGCAGAGAGAGGGACTGGAGTCGGCTGGCGATTTAGCGCATTTGTTTTGCTCGACGGACGAGGCGGAGCAGTGTGGAGTGCCCACGGCCTGGGCCGTGGCTCGGGACGTGGCGCGGGTGACGCCGTGGCTGGTGCCCGCGCATGGCATTTGCGCGGAGGGGCGATTTGGCGGCGCGGCGGCGGCCGCCGCGCCCGCCGTGAGCGCGGGGGCCGCGGCGGGGAAAGGGCGTGGGCCTACCGCCGCGCGCCGCGGTCGGCCGAGACGCTGTGCCGCAGTGGCGACGGAGGCGGCAGAGCGTGAGGGGCGCGTTCAGCTGGCGGTCAGCGCAGTTCGAGTGTCGCTTGAATGGCGCCCGGAAAGCGGCCTCGGGCAGGGGTTGCAGGAGGCGCAGGCCGAGATGCTCGCCGACGTCTCGTCCGCGGCAGTGTTTAGGCTGAGTAATTTCGAATCCGGGACGCTGCGCACGGCCTTGCGCGTGTGGGGGCAGTGGGCCGAGTGGGCGGGCCGGCAAGGGCAGCCGGCGACGAGTCTGGCGCGGCAACCCATGGCAGTCGCCGAGTTCGTGCATAAGCTCTCGAT